AGTTCTAATAACTTTGTTTTCTTTTTTAAAAAGAAGCATTTATTTTGGAGTTTTGCAGATTATACAAAGTTGTGAAATAGTACAAATACCCATACCTGTTTCGTCAGTTTTCCCCTTGATGTTTCTTATACTGTCACTGAAAGTTCATCCCAACAGGAGTCCAGTGCTGGTGCACTGCTCCAAGCTAAGCTCTCAGCCCCACTGTGATCCTGTGTCTCTCCCACTACTGTTCCTTTCTATCTCAGGACTCCATCCTACACCCCACTGTCACGCTTCCATCTCCTCTGTGAATAACTGTTTCTCAGTCTTTGTCTTTTATGGCACTGATACACATTGATCAGGTATTTTGGAGAATGTTACAAAATTTAAGTATGTACATATTTGTTTCATAATTAGAATACATTTTGGAAAGAGCACCAGATATGAAGAATCTTTTCCATCATATTACATCAGGTCACATGACAACCACACAACATCATTGTGATGCTAAACCTGTAGCCTGGGTGTTTCTTCATGAAGCTTAATATGGTTTTCTTTACAATCCGATTTTTAATTAATTTTTAGGTTTGTATATAGTACATGGGCTTTACTATGACATTTTCACATGCTGTTTTTATCCTTCCTGCCCATGGCCCTTCCCATCCACATGACCCCTCTTGCTGGGTCCCTTCCTCCCCTCAATAGCCCTCCTTTTGTTTTCATGTCATATTTCTCTTATTATTTTCTGGGCAAACTATTTTTTAGAAGCAAATCACTCAAGAATACCCTCCTGGAAAGAAGAGCATCATCAGACAGTCTTTTACTTTCCTCTGTATGGAAGAGTGGTCTCTTCTCACCAACTCTCTTTTGATTAGTGACTACATGGTATATGTTTTTCATTCTTTTGCTTAAACATTTTTTAAAAATTTTATTTATGTGGCATGTCTGTGTGAGTGTATGTACACACTTGTGTGTATGGGTACTCATACAGGCCAGAAGAGGGCATTGGATCCCTTGGTGTTGGAGTTACAGATGTTTGTGAGCCACCTGATGTGGGTGATGGTGCTGTGATCCAAACTCTGGTTTTCATGATTGAGTTGCAAGCTCTCTTAACTGCTAAATCATATCTCCCAGGCCCATTCTTTCAATTTTTAATCTTACTTTTAATGTCTAAAGAGAAATTCATGGGGATGAGGAAATGGTTCAATAAGCAAGCACGATGATGTAAGTTTGGATACCCAGCACCTAACTAAAAGTCAGGTGTGGCAACAGACATCTGTAACTGCAGTCCTGGGACTGAAGCAGAGAATAGTGATTCTCTGGAGTTCATTGGCCAGCCAGTCTAGCTGAATCAGTGAGCTTAAGGTTCAGTGACAGCCCTGTCTCAAAAAAATGAGAGAAAGAGAAAGGGCTAGAGAATGAGTTCAGCAGTTAAAAACTGCTGCTGGCTGCTCTTCCAGAGGACCTGGATTTGATTCCTAGCACCCACATGGTAACTTAACAACTGTCCACAACTCTATTTCCAGGGGACCCAACACCCTCTTCTGGCCTCTTTGGGAACTGCAGCACATGTTATATAGACATACATGCAGGTAAAACCCACACACATTTAAAAAAAAAAAAAAACCTTTAAAAAAAGGTGGAAAGTCACTGAGGAAAGATAATCCACCAGCCTCCATGTGCATGCACATATAACTAGCACATGTACAAACATACACACCACATACACACAGTGGAACTTATATAGGTAGTGTATAACCAGAAGTAATTAACTATTTAAATGGAATATTTAGATGTGTGAGATGTGGTTCTAATCTGGAGTGTCATCCATACACTCATGTTTAGAGGACTTGTACACACACCCAATTCCAGGGACCAAGTTTATTTATCTTATTTTGTTTATACTAATTTTCCTCTTGTTACAGGGGACATGCCTGATTCTCAATGTATTTTGTACTTTTAAAGCAGCTTGCTTGCTAGTGCATGCTTTCACTGCCAGTACTCAGGAGACTGAAGCAGGAGAATCCCAAGTTCAAGATCTGCCTGGCTATGTAGCAAGATACTGTATTAGAAAATATAAGTAACCAGTCAACTGTCTGTGGCTAATGCAATCTTGGAGAACCTACAACCTCTACTTTACTAAACCAGCACAATCTCTACCCTCACTCTCAATAGTTACACTTATCCCACAGAGAAGGGAAGTTCTCACCTGTCATCAAAGTCTTTTCTTTGCAACACACAGAGACCATTATAGAAAACTACAACCAATCAAAATGCAGTTATAGAACACAGTCCCAACTGATAAATCTATAACACAACTGCTGCATCTAAGACTCAGGGATCATCACAGAAGACAGAGTGTGAAGACTGTAAGAGCCAGAGAGTCAGAGTTTGCTGTGAGAGTGTGTCTCCTAGAAATATCAGAGAAGCTACATCCGCCAAGTCTCACCTATATGGCTGCCTAAACATGATCTGGACAAAAATGACACCAACAGATACGCTAAAGTGAGAGGGGAAACCTCATGAGGCCTTAAACCTAGACAAAGCACTCTAGGCAACTGAAGAATGCTGAGAGAGGAGAAACAGTTTTCCTCTGGGGAGAGGACACTGCCTGGTTAATTCAATACCCAATGGCCAGCCCTAAAAACATCCATATAAGTAACAGCATATAACCAAGCAGGATGTATTATAAACTTAGTGTACACAACACACACACACACACACAAATGGAAGAAAAAAAATTTGAAAGAAAGCAGGGGAGATATAAAAAAGGGGTTAGAGGGAAGAAAGGGGAAGAAGGAATGATGTAATTATAATTTCAAAAAAGTCTATAACAAACTACAAGTATAATGACTAAACAGACAAAGCATGCTGACACTGATGCTGTGTTGTTGAGAGCTGGATCTTGTCCTTCTTTCTTAAGTAGGGTTAAATGTTATTTTGACAGGAGATTAAATTTTCCCCTTTTTCCAGGAAGTTAAATTTCTGGGAAATCAGGTCAAACCTTTGAAGGCTTTACAAACAGGTTTGTTTAAAACTTTTAAGGGAAGTTTATACACACACATAAGCAAGGACTCACATTATTTTTAAACCTGTGTTCAGTGTGATGAATCCTTCCCCTGTGACCGTCACCCGCTCCTGTACTTCCCCTGTGACCGTCACCCGCTCCTGTACTTCCCCTGTGACCGTCACCTGCTCCTGTACTTCCCCTGTGACTGTCACCTGCTCCTGTACTTCCCCTGTGACCGTCACCCGCTCCTGTACGTCCCCTGTGACCGTCACCCGCTCCTCTACTTCCCCTGTGACCATCACCCGCTCCTGTACTTCCCCTGTGACCGTCACCCGCTCCTGTACGTCCCCTGTGACCGTCACCCGCTCCTGTACTTCCCCTGTGACCGTCACC